TCGAGCTGAATAATGAGCGTCGTCGACGTAGATCACTTTAGGTCGGAGGCAGGAGGCTACCTGGTGTCGTGTGCGAAATCATCGACATGCAATGCAGCGCGAGCATTCGCAGGGCAAGACGCGGAGTCGCGAGTGGAGTGGATCAAGCATCAAGAATATCACCAACTCACCAATGCGCCGCTCCATTACTTAGCCAAGGGCGCCCGCCCGCCGGGGGATTGTAACGCGCGCGCTGCTCCCATCACGTGCTTCCACTGCAAGAGGCGTGCGGTCGCGCGTCAGAATTAAAGTCGCCATCAGTTTGAGTCGAAGCACGGCGGGACGTTCACACCGAACCAGCTCCACCACCTCCACAGCCGCCGAAATACCCTTCGAGTGCATTTGTATTCAATTCATTCTTCGAAAGCTTTGAGCAAGAGCGACGGGTCCCTCCTCACAACTCCGCACAGGCCGCGCTCGAGGCACATCCGACGCGGGCTCAAATCATGGCGCCTGTAGCAACAGACGCCAAGAGCGGGCCTTCCCCAACCGAAGTCTCTTCCGCAAGCGGGACCGAAGCTCTACCAGACCTGGCTCAGCTGGTCAGTCGCGCATCTAAAAGAAGCAGATTGCTTTTCGCAGGCGGCGATGCATCCTCCTCGTCTCCCTTGCCGGACTTTGCCACTGGAAGTGGGTCGGGCCTGGAAGCAGCCGAAAGGGCCAGGTCGAGCGTGATGGAGGAGACTTTCAAAGATGCCAAGCATCTTCCGGCCGCATTGCTAGAACAACAAGGTGCAGTGGGACCTTCCAGACCGGGAGGCGAAAACAAGCGTGGCAGAGAAGAAGCGCCATCTACAAGCAGCGGTCCAGCAGCTTCCGCAGGAGTCGTTGCGCTTAGAAGATCAGAGGGATTTGCGTCTGCTTCGGGAGGAGGGAGCTCGCTGAACACCGCATTAATTCGCAAAAAAGAAGCGGAAGAGAGGAAGTTGAAACCGCAACTGCACGCTCAGTGGAAATTGTCAAGGGTCATCTCGGGACATTTGGGTTGGGTCAGGTGCGCTGCGGTAGAACCGGGAAACAAGTGGTTTGTCACGGGTGCTGGAGACCGCATGATCAAGGTGAGCTTCGAATGCGACGCGTTCGTGGAGGCACGGCTTAACACGCAGCGCGTCTATGCCATCTTTTCTGCTTGCCGCAGGTGTGGGATTTGGCCTCTGGAGAGCTCAAAGTCTCCTTGACGGGTCACATTTCTACTGTACGAGGACTCGCGATCTCTTCGCGGCATCCATACATGTTCTCAGCGGGAGAGGACAAGGTAGTGAAGTGCTGGGATCTGGAGACAAACAAGGTCATCAGGCAGTACACCGGACACCTTTCGGGCATTTACTCTCTCTCGTAAGTGCAGCTTGCCCACCTCGCTGGTCTCTGTTTCGGCTTCAACTGACCTCATCACGTATTCGTCGATAGTCTTCACCCAACCATCGACGTACTTGTCTCAGCTGGCAGAGACGCAGTGGCTCGGGTCTGGGACATGCGAACGAAAGCGCAGATCCACGTCCTGGGTGGCCACAGAGGAACGATTGCCAATGTCCAGTGTCAAGACTCGGATCCGCAGGTTGTGACAGGCAGCATGGACGCCACTATCAAGTTGTGGGACTTGGCGGCCGGAAAGTCGATGACTACCTTGACTCATCACAAGAAGAGCGTCAGAGCTCTGGCTATGCATCCAACAGAGTGTGAGTCGCCCAACCTACCGTACCGCATGAAAGTGTAGAGTCGCAAAGCTAACGAGACCCTTTTGGCATGCGTCGCCCAGTTTCCTTCGCCTCTGGCTCTGCAGGTGGCCGCAATGTGAAGACATGGAAATTTCCAGAAGGCACGCTGATCAATAACGCTACGACGGATAATATCGTCAACACTTTATCGGTCAATGCGGATGGTGTTCTATTTGCTGGCTCAGACAATGGAGCCCTGCGCGTGAGTCGCTGACACTCGCTTCATATTTTCTTGAGAAGGCTCCGCTGCAGCTGCATCATTTCGCTGACCTCGCATTCTATGCATGGACAGTTCTTTGACTATGCCACGGGTACACCATTTCAGACAACAGAGGACGTCCCTCAACCCGGCTCATTGGACGCAGAAGCTGGTGTGTTTTGCTCCACCTTTGATCAGACTGGCACGAGGCTTATCACTGGCGGTGCAGACAAGAGTGAGTGCGCGGCGCGTTGTCGCAAAGGTTGAAGGTCGAAGTTGCGAGAGGTTGATGTCATGCTCATCATGCAAAGTGGGGAATGAGCTGACGATGCCCGCTGCAACCTCACCTCTGCTCCTCGCATAGCTATCAAGGTGTACAAAGAGGCGTAATCACATTTGTGTTGATGCTCAGTCGAAAACTCACGAGCATTGGTGTGGTCTGTATTCGTGGAATTGACCAAAAGCGCATCCGAGTTGCTCGAGTGAAAAAGCTCAGTGTGCCTCTTGTCTCAGATATACCGGAGCTATAGGTGGGCAATGGAGCACAGCTAGTTGACAGAGCTGACACTACCATCGGAGTAATCATGCACCAACATCAAGCTTGACTCGGCCATGAAGCTGGCCAGCAATTTATCGGCATAGCACTCGTGACTTCTTGACGATCACCGCTGAACTTCATATATATACGTGATGTCTGTTGTGTTTCAAAGCGACCCGATAGCACTGCGCATTCACTCTCAAGACTCTTTGAGTGTCTATTGATCCCCCGCCTCTGCTGAGCGGTGCTTGCATGGGCGCGTGAACTGATGAAGAAGGGCATGCACACGCGCGCGCGCGCGCGCGCACATGCGTTGATGCTTGAGGGGCCCGCCCGCGCCGTTGTGTGCGTGAGCCAGGCACACACAAGCACGAATGATCCCTCCACCTGCGCGGCTGGGCTGCGCCTGTCCTAGCTATTGCCTTTCTCACGTTTCTACCTCCAACACTCGTGACTCACTGTGACCGCATCACTCGACAAGCCGATCGATCGAGATCGGATCGCAGAAGGAGCACATATACTCGTGACTGTTCATTTGTGTCTCGTCTCAGAGTGCACAAGTCACGAGTCTCGTGGCCATATACGCGCACCACTCAATTCCTGCCATCAGGCATCTCCGCGCATTCATTCACTCACGACTCACAACCTGCACACGCCTGACTGAGCAGCGTCAACGCATCACGTAGATCACTGCCGCGCCCTCTGACTCTGGCGTCGCTCATATCCCTCCTTCGCATCATCGGCGGCGATTGGACAGCAATTTGGGCCATTAGTCAAGCTCTCTTCGTCACATCACCACCCAACGCCGTCAGCCGCAAAGCTAGAGCGGCGCTTCTTGCCAGGCTTCACTTCGTCCCTGCTCACCAACACTCGACACTCGCACATCACCTGCTGCACAATCGCTTCGAGATGCGCATCGCATCCAAAAGGCTTCAAAAGGAGCTGGCCGAGCTCCGCTTGAATGGCCCACCTGTCGGCACGGAGATCATCAAGGCGGATGATCTTCAGACTTGGGTCTTTTCTGTAGAGGTACTTGGAGAGAGCGTTTACAAAGGGGAGAAGTTTGCGCTGGTGAGTGAGCACGGCGGCGGGCTTGCATTGCCATTGACAAGAAGAGAAAGACTTCGAGAGGCTAAACATACGAGCATTGGAGGGTGACAGAACGACAGTTCCCGGCGTTGGAGCTAGGCTCAGCCGTTCCTCCGGCTGCCAACGCGCGACTGACGGCCTGGCTGATCCGACTGCCTATGCTTTCCCATTCGCACATCGCGCATCTGCAGAGATTTCGGTTCCCCGACGCTTACCCGATGGAGAGCCCAGAAGTAGTCTTCTTGACCACAGACGGCTGGTCAGCTCCTGCTGTGAGTGGGCGAGCAGGGACACATTTGCAGCGTCATTGGGGCTCTCTGACCTTGGCCGTGTCTGGCGTACTCTAGCATGGTCACATCTACACTAACGGTCGTGAGCATGTGGTTTGCTTCGTTCCACGCGGCTCGCCTGCTGATCGATACGCTACCGATGCAATCGCTCCCCGCCGTGCTCCGGAACAGACATCTGCGGTGAGTGGCTTAGTAGTTGTGCCTGACGGTGACCCCTACGCCGTCTCTTGGAGCATCGTCACTAACACTTTTCAAACCTCTCGCAACAGCCTCGATTCTGGCCAACGAGTGGTCCCCAGTGCTGCACGCCACCAGTGTGCTCTTGACTATTCAGTCCATGCTCGCGTCGTCCAAGAAGTGCGTGCGCACCGTTGAGGCGACAGCCAGACTTTCTCGTTATCGCTGAACAAGCTTGCCCTGCACTCCTTTTGTTGTGCTTGCAGAAAGGAGCACCCACCCGATAATGATCGATACGTCAAAAGAGCCCCGATCTCGCGTGAGTAGATTGCCAGCACATGTGTGTGACACCTCTCATTGACCACTGCACTGCCATCCGACGCTCTCACGATGCACAGCCAAGGACACGCATTGGTGAGTGTGTCGTCCCTGTTCGATGGTCGAAGGTCGCTTTCTGACGCATTCGTCCGCTTTCGAGCAGGGCTTTTCACGACGATGATGTCTAACGCAGACTTAGAGACAGGCTCGTCCTCGGACACACAGCCTCCCTCTGGACGATTGCTGGGCTAGCCTCAAGGCCTCCCAAATGACCGCGCATCGCACGTGGGTGTGAAGCACGCTTTTGTTGACGCACGCTGCTTTCCGGGGCTGGAAACCTGTACTGGAAGGCCTGGCGCACGACTCGAAAGTTTCACCAGACGTCGCCAAGCCCCAAGTCCTTTCGCACCCTTCATCACTGTACCATTAGACTTCCTACACGTTACTCCCATTTCTCCGACACGACCCAATCACCAATGTCTTGACACGCGCCTTCCTCACAAAACGTCGATCCCTTGCAGAGCGAATCGACTGCTGGGGTTCACAGGCCGATTGACTTGCACGCATCGTTGTCACATGTACGAGCGCTGAGGGCTGGGGGCCTCCTTGACGTGTTGCTTCTCACCAAAGCACGATGGCACTTCTCATTCCTAATGCCCTCCGATCTTCTACCTATCCGCACCTTGGCCCCTCGACAACTCGCCCTGAAGCTGCCCTAATCTTCTTCCCTCTTCCTCTACAGCATCCCTAGCAATTCTGACTCTCTCTTCATTTTCTCTTCCTTGCCTTTCTTCCTCTTCCCTCGCGCGAATGATTTCGTACTCTGAGGATGGCCTGCTTGAGGACCCGAACAAGGATGCGGAGTCAACGGCTCGAGGTGGCCGCTCGGGCACGCCCAGAATGCTGCACACTCTGTGCCAGAGTTCCTGGCCTGTGTCGTGAAGGTGGAGGTCGTTTGCGTCAGAGGAGAGTCGGGGCGCTACGGGTGCTTTGTTTGCAGACTCACCTCTCATATGGCTTAGCAGCTGCACTTCCCTCGTATCCTTGTTCACTGCACGATACGGTGCGGGAGGAGTATCCGAGATCGTCAGAAGCAGCTGTGTACACATCGCAGTGTGGCGTAGTGCTGGACTCCGAACAGACGGGGCAGACGCTGTGCTGCGTATGTCCACCAGACATGGCATACATGCGCTCGCCTTGGCCGCCGCTCTCCGAAGTCACTCACATAATTGGATTCTGAGCAAGTACGGTCGCAATCCAAGCTCCGCCGATTGGTTCGCTGCGTCTTGTTCATCATTCTGAATCAACTCCTCCTTTGTCCTCCTGATCACCTCAAATTTGGCATTAGGATTAGCAAAGACGATTCCTGGCAAGCGTTTCTTGACAAACTCTTGAACTCCCGGATGATTGACCGCTCCTTTAGCTGGCACGTCGACGGAGATGGAGACGAGATTCGGAACGTTGTAATGAGTAGAGAGGTTGTTGTACAGCTTGAACAGCTCTGATGCCGCAACAGGAGCTCTCTTCGCCTGTCGGGTCGACCCGGCTAGCCGCGCCAAGGTGGGAATCATGCTGGCACGGGTGGGTAAAAGCTGGCCAGCGCAAAGTTCGAAGCGAATCTCAGATGGAGGTGCCTGAAGCGTCGCCCTCGATGGGGGAGGGGGGGGGGGTCAAGATTCGAGAAAGGAGGAAATTGCGGTCGTGGGCGTATACGGTTGGGAAAGGTGAGGTGTTGAGGGTCTTGATTCGAGAAAGGAGGAAATTGCGGTCGTGGGCGTATACGGTTGGGAAAGGTGAGGTGTTGAGGGTCTTGGTCGAAGAGTAATGATCAGATTCTTATTAGACAAGTGCAAGTCTAAAGCGCAGGCACGTGATTGAGTCATTGCTATGCTATGCGAGATCGCAGCTTTCTCGTGCGGCACCACTCACCACTCAAATTGTGATTCGCGCATCGAAATTAAGGGGCGGTGCTCGCGCGTGGGCTGTGCGTCCACATCAGCAGCTGATGGCTGCGCGACAGGAACGCACAGCACCGCACAGCACGGCAGCCCTTTGTATGATTTGATTTCACTGCTTGATTTTGTGGCTTGCCTTGAGTATGCTTGCTGTAGATGCGTTGCCTTGTGCTCTGCCATGCCATAAACACCCAATGCAAGGGCCAGGGCCTTTGAATGCATCCCCTTCACCGTTGCGTCCAATGTTCTGAAGGATCGACGGTCAGCCTAGCAGGCGCCCTTCATTTCCACGGCTAGCCTCGAGCTACGATACGACGCCATCCCCTCTGGCCGACCGACTTGAACGCGCAGCTCATCAACCGACCTGCTGTCAGCAACAAGTGGATCTTCCTGATAACAAGGTCCGCACTAAGCCACCATGCCGTCGCGCTCCGATGAGGCGTCGTCAAGTCGCCAGCAGTACGCGTCCACTTCCACCATCTCCTCCCAATCGCCTGGACGAAGAGCGCTCAAGGTGGTGCTGATCGGCTCAGCAGGCGTAGGCAAGACGGCTTTGAGAGACCACGTGAGTGTCGTGCATAGTTGTGCGCAATGATGAAGCCGGGCACATTGACCCAAGGAACGCTCTGGCTCCATCCAAAGTGGCATACCAACCGCTTCAACGCTTCTTACAGGGCGACCATTGGCGCTGACTTTGTCACAAAGCAGATCGACAGACCAGATCCTCCGCCTAGAACGAGGCGGCCAAAGGGAGGCACCATCAGCGTCGCTGTCTGGGATGTGAGTGGTGCAGCAGTGCAGCTTTGGCACTCCATTACATGGCATTGATGGACGCGTGTTCCCGCACCGCAGACTGCAGGCCAGGAGCGGTTTCGCTCATTGGGTAGAGCCTTTTACCGAGGTGCAGATGCCGTCATACTCGCTTACGACGTTACCCGTCCAGAGACGCTATGCGAGACAAAGACCTGGTGGGCGGACTTCAAAAGCGCCAATGGCTTCCACAGTAGAGCACCTGCCAAAGGCGCCAAAGGAGCTGGCATGCACCATCAGCACGCCGAGGATGAGGCGGCGCTGCAAACTTGGTTGAAGACGGTCACGCTGGTCGCTGTTGGATGCAAAGCAGATCTGTTGAGCTCAGAGAGGCAAGTCGATTCTTTTGATGAGCGACGCAACAGGGCAACAAGCGAAGCGCAGAAGTGGTTTGACGGATTGCTGCGTCAGCGCTTGGAAGAGCCAAGAGAAGCAGGCTCAAACAGTAACCACAAGGAGCGCGACACGGCAGAAGCTCAGCACGCAGCCGAGCCATACGAAATGTCTGAGAACAATGTGACGCAAGCGGACCACACCGAAGATCATGTTGCTGCATCTTCATCCTCCTCCGACAGCGGGCCGACCGCTCGACCGCCCCTGAGCACGCGCGGAAGTGATCCAAGCGGAAGACGTCCGAATTCGACGACGACCATACATGCCCAGCCTACCAGCTTAGTTGGCGTCGAGCCTCAGCAGCCCGGCTCAAAGCAGCAGGTTAATGATGACGAGCCTGCAGACGCGCAGCTTCATGCCAGACGGTCAATCGCATCGATCAATCTCGTTCACGCGGAGACGGAGCCTGATCCCGAGAGACGTGCTCCGAATGCCGGCAATTCGCGCATCGTGCACTCACCAGAGGCGGAAGTAGGAGAGCCAGATAAGACGGCAGGCGAAGGCGATGCGGCTGGCAACCCGGAAATTGTCGAAGCGAGCAGCACCACTGAGGCCGCCCGAGATATTCCGACCACTCAGAAGCGCAAGAACGACACATTGTCGATCTCAACCTCCTACGGAATCACACCGCCCGCCACTCGAGCAAACGGTCAACGAGCGAAAGTTGCTCGCACGCCCACACGAGTCAGAGGCAGGTACGATAGCGCGGCTAGCGTGGCCAGTACTATCGCTGGCGGAGCTAGTCTGTACCACACGCCTAGAGGCAGCACGATGTATTCGTTCAATTCGAGCTCCAGCGAGGAAAGTCGGCAGCGTGCTGAAGCAGTAGCGCGCACACCTCGTCCTGAACTCGAGGATCAAACTAATGACAGCGAAGACGGCGGGAGGACTCCTCGCGGTGAAGCTCAAGCAGCGCAAGGCAGCAGTTCAAATGCGTTCGACGTGAGCGCTTTGGACAGAGCATTGCACCAGGCGCAGGATGAGCCAGGGCAAGGAGATGAGGCGCAGCCCTCCGCGAGCGAAGATGAAAATGGTGCTGCCTACTCACAACAGATCAGACCGGGCCAGCTGGAAGGCGAGCCGATTCCCTTCCCAAGCACACCATCTGCGGACCGAATAGCTGACGTCAGGCGTGCTGCCAGATCTCGCAAGGGATCCAGCAACGCGGCACGGACCTCTGGGGCTCGAAGCAAGAGTAGAATGGGCGGCGATAAGTCAAATTTGCAGCCTCCAGCTCTGGAGTTGCCTGCTCGACCCACAACGCTGTACGAGGCACCACCTGTCTCGGTAGGCTCTGGCTTTTTGCATCGTGCCGCGGCCGAACCGAGTGGCGCGTCAATGGCACAGGATGCCGGCGCGCATCGAAGTCTTTCTCTGGATGAAGAGAGCGTGAGGAGCGAATCTGACTACGATGCTGCTTGCGAGGATGACGAGGAGCCCACGGCGCCCGCGCAAGGCTTTGTCCTGCACCTCACATCAGCAAAGACAGGGCAAGGCGTGTCTGGCGTGTTTGAAGAGCTCATCGAGCGAGTGTCTCAGAGGTGGGAGGTGGAGGAGTGGGAAGAGAGACAGGCACAATATTTGAACGGAGGATTTGGAGTGGATGTGGATGGCAAGACGAAGGAGAGGAACGCCAAGGGAAAGGGATGGTGGAGGTTCGGCAGAGGACAGCAAAACGTAGAGTTGACGTGGGAGCAGAGGGAAGAGATTCAAGTTCGCAGAGGCATTCGGATAGCTGCTGGCAAGGAACCGAGAAATTGCTGCGGTACGTGAGTTGAAGGTTGTCAAGAATGCTGCGGATGTGAAGGTGACACAGGTGGCGGCCACGCCGTCGTCACACGATGTGATCTTCTTGCTTGCCAATTGCGCATCGTCTAACGAAGCTGTTCCCAGAGGCTATGCACGAACGTCACATTGTTGCTTATGATACCACAACACGGAGTCAATGCGACCAATGCTCTCAGAGACTGCCGTGTCACAAGCCAGCGAAGTGCGAGCGCGAATGTTGAATAGCCTCGCACGCTCAGATGACATGTGCAACACCGGCTGGAAGGTGCCTTTCGTGGATATATATCTTGGGCCTTGATCGCAGGCGCACAGTCACTCGAGAGCTTGTTGGCCTTGGCGCGAACAGGCCGATGATTGCTGCCGCCCCCGCATTCAGATTCTGATTTGATGCACCGTGCACGCAAATCGCGTGAATCTGCTGCGCAGTGCGCTGCGCTAAGCGCTCATGCGGCCTCGTGCGCCTCCACTTTATTCGCATTACAACAGACACTGGTCAGCTGATTCATATACCTATATTCACCATTGTGATTCGTGATGAAGATGAGAGCAGCGTGCAGTCCAACCATAGGGGGCGGCACATTTCACCTCCCACTTACACCCATCTCCAGTATTTGACGCTCGACTTACTGAGCTCGCTGATCCCGCCCCTCCCCCACTCCTGATACACACCATGCCTCCTCGCCCTACGGAAAATGTGTGGAAGTATCCACGCCCACCAGCCCTTCAGAGGACTTCGGCCAGACTCAGAGTCATTTGGCGCCCTCCCACTGGCCCCTCTGCTGCAACGACAGGAGGAGGGGAAGAGGTCGTTTTGGCCGATACGACGCAGGGCTGGCGAGTGCTAGAGACGAGTCACCCTCCTACCGTAAGTGCATGGGCAGCTTTCAGACAAGTGGTGTGGGGTATAATGTGTCGGTATTTGGAGCAGCGTCCCCCTTGACCCAAATCAGCTTAGCGCTGCTTTTGTCGATCCCCGATCCCAAACGAACAACACAGTACTACTTTCCTCCCTCTTCTGTGCGTCGAGACCTCCTACAAGATTCGAGCGCTCGCAGGACGATGTGCGAGTGGAAGGGACAAGCAAAGTATCACGATGTCTTTTCTTCCACAGCGAGGATCTGGTCGTACCCCAGCGCGACCGGCAAGACCGGACCAACATCCGATTCGCAGGGATTTGAGAGCATCAAGGAGCACTACTGCTTCTACGCCTCTTCCAATACCGATCCCAAAACTCAGGGAGCTTGGGTTTGCGTGAGTGCTTGCTGCGCTCAGAGGGAATTTTGGGAAAAAAGAAAAAAAGAAAAAACGGTTGGTTGCACAACTGTGCCGCACATGCTGATTGACAGGAATATGTGGTGCGTTCCTTGCTCGTACCTCTGCGTCCCACACATCCGCATCCAGATGGTGGATGATGACATAGTGCAGGCACAAGAGGGAGACTTTTGTAAGCAGAGCGCCGGTACAGTTTGCACGATAGCACCATTCCTGACGTCGTGACTTGCCGCTCAACCGACTGCCATTCATTCATTCATTCGTTCATTCATCGCTCGCTCCCTCGCTCTGACTGACTGCCGCCATACAGATGGCTCGTGGATCACACCCGAGATAACGGGCGGGGAAAGAGGCTTCAAAGGCGCTGCTGGTACTTGGGGTTGGTAAGGTCACTCCAATCACCGGTACATCATGGTGCCTTGGCGAAGACAGTGACAAAAAGGCAGGTCATACACATGAGAGCTTCCCCGATGCTTGAACTCTCGTTTTCTACGCACGCGATCTGTATAAATACGGCCACATAGGGGCGGGGAAATTCGATCCTCTCCAGCGCGCGATGCACCGAGCAAACCAAAGACATGGTGTCGCAGTATCAATCGAAAACAATTTTCCTGCAAGGAGATGGGTCAGGATTGCGATCAGCCAGTATTCTTGAACTGTGCACATAGCAATGTCGCTACTCACTTTGCCTTGCCAGGTACGAGCTCGCTATAGTGAGAGCCATAAGCAGAGTGCTCCTTGCGCTTGATGGCTGCGGAAGTGCACGCGGGCAGGGGTCAGATGATTGGACTAAACCTAAAGCGAGACATTCATCAGCGGAGGCTACACTTACTGGTCGGGAACTGCTTCATTTCCTCGGGCACCGGCTGATTGGAGTCCTTGAGGATTCTGATCAGCTCGCCGGCGTGAGACTTGTCCTCTTGTGTGAAGAAGCTGCGGCGCGGACAAGGCGGAAAGGTTTCAGCGCTTCGGGCACGTGCGTCTTGGTGGTCTTCGCTCTTCTCGCGCTGTCACTCACGTAATCGACTTTCCAGTCTTGCCACCGCGACCCGTTCGCCCGATTCGATGGACGTAGTCCTCGATAGCTGGGTTGTAACAAGAAGTTCAGCCATCAAGTTTTGACGCTTGACTCGTCGACAAGATGTCCACACTCACTCAGCGGGAACGTGTAGTTGACCACGTATTCGACCGACGGCACATCAATACCACGGGCTGCCACATCTGCAAGACGATATCGGTAGCAAATCGTCAAGAAATACGAACCGCAGCGCACCAATGCTGTACAGTGCCCCCTAAGCATCACCTACCTGTCGCAACCAGAAGAGGAGTCTCGCCTTTCTTGAACGCTTCCAGACTGGCCATTCTTTGGTGCTGATTCAAGTCGCCATGAATGCCAGCGACGCTGTATCCGTTTCTGCGCAAGGTGTCTTCCACTCGTTGTGCTTCCTGCATGGGTCAATCATACAGCGGTGAGCACAGCGACGCCCCGACGAGCGCCGTGCATTGGCCTGATAGCGATAGATGCCCGCTCACCTTCTTGTACAGTGCAAAGATGAGGACTTTGTCATTCGGAGCTTTGCCCCGCGGTCCAGCCCCAATCTTCTTCAAGAATGCATCTAACCGCCTCTCCTTCGCTCTGCCGTCGGCCAGCACCTCGACGGACTGCTCTACTCTGTGATTTGCGCTGAGCTCGTCGCTTCCGACAGTGACGCGAACAGGGTCGTTCATGAAGCTCTCCGCCAATCCTCGGACTGCTGGGGGCCACGTAGCCGAGAACATGCTCGTCGACCTGCCTTCCTCCCTCGACCTGCACATGCTCATGATCGCTCGAATGTCGGGCTCAAAACCAACGTCCAACATTCGATCTGCCTCGTCAAGGACAACATTGTCCACAGCTGATAGGTCTAGATTGCCCTCTCTGGCGAGATCGAGCACCCTTCCGGGTGTTCCCACCACCACCCGGATGGGCGGGGAGCCCGAGAGAAGCTTAATCTGTTCTTGCTTGTTAACTCCGCCATACAAGCATACGCTTCCCAAGCCCACTGCCCGAGCTAGCTTTGCCATATGCTCATGCGTCTGAATAGCCAGCTCTCGGGTAGGAGCCACGACAAGGACGGAGACGTTGGCAACCGCGCTTCCTTTTTTGGCCTTCTTGTCCTTCTTGCTAGCTGATTCCGCGGGAGCGATTCCCTTGACAACCAGCTTGTGCAGCGCTGGCAGACCAAAGGCAAACGTTTTGCCCGATCTGGAAGAGTGTTGCGATTCATCAGCATGCCTCGCTTGGGATTGGCTTCATGCACAGGGCAACGTTGTCACTCACCCCGTCTCTGCGATCCCGACTACGTCCTTTCCAGCAAGCAACACACTCCAGCAGCACGCCTGGATAGGCGTAGGCTTTGCGAATCCATTTCTATCCAGCTCCGTCTTCAATCTGGCGTCCACCTTGCCCGTCAGCTCGTCGAAGCTGAGCATCGGCAGAGGAGGCAAGCCCTCATGAGAATCGCCCACTTGCTCGAGCGTGATGTTGTTTGCCTCCATGTACGCTCGTGCCGCCGCAGAGTCTGCCTTGGAGCCGCTTGATGCTGCCGTGGACGAGCCTTGCGGCTTCTTTGCGGCAAACGCTGCGCTGATGGCATCGTCGTGTGTCGCTGAGCCGGTGCTTGCAGCTGTTGTAGAAGCGCCGCTCTTCTGGTCCAGGGCAGATGCAACTGAGTCAACACTAGCGGCAGCAGCTTTTGCAGCCTGCTTTGCTTCTTTTCGCCTCCTCTTTGCCGTCTTGGCATCTTCTGCTGACTCTGCCTCGTCCGCAATTCCGGCTGTCCGCTTGCCGTTGGTGTTTGCTTCTGACATCGCAGCTGATGTCTGTTCAGCTTCGGCAGCGCGCGCCCTCTTCGCCGCCTTCTTTTCCTTCTTCAACCGCTTCTTCTCAGCTGCAGCGACCGCTTCATCCAAGTCCGATGCGACGCCATTTGCAGATGCTGGGGTAGGAGAGCCGATGGACGCTGCTGGTTGTGCCGCTGCAGCGGCACTGCTCTCGGCCTCGGACCCTTGTTGCGAAGCTCGCTTTTCGCGCTTGTGAGCAGATTTGAGGGCCTTCTCGGCCTTGCGCTCGGCCTTGGCTGACGAGGTGGTCATGATTGATTGTGGGGCGCTGAGATATTGATGGTCCCTTGCAATCTTGTCATTTGTGTGTGATGGAAAGGTGCGATTCAAGGGCGGCACAAGATTTGCGGCGGAATCACGAATGCTGTCGGTGGCTTAGGAGAGGCGAACGGCGCGTTGCGCGTGTTGGATTCCAGCTGCACTTCGCGGTCTGCGAGAGTCAAAGTTCACGAGTTCACGACTTTTTTTGCACTCGCACGCGCTCGCACGCGCTTCTCGTACGAGAAGAATCTCCCCGCCCACAGATCGTCTGGAAGCAGAGTCACCGGTCTTGCGCCACGCCAGGCCTCTCCAGGATCGTTGCCCTCATTTTCATACAATCACATGTTTCGGGGGGATGTGGATGGCAACTAGTCGGGAAACTTGGTGCCCAAGTAGTTCCTTCGCGAGCGGAGCACCCCGCACACCCAGGCTCTCCGGGACAGCTTAGAAGTGAAGCTAATATCACGAGATCAAAACATGAAGCCTGCTTTCAATTCCATTCTGATTCATGCGAGAACGAAAGGCTGGGTGCCAAGCATCATTCCATTGATTGTATCGCGGACTGTCGGCACAGCTGCAATGGAACTCTTTTGAAACGCGAGACTTTGGCGACCCAGCGCTGGACGCAACTTCTTGATCACGACTGCGCCATGTTGGTGAGAGCTTGCATAGGTGAAGAGCACCTACTTGCTCATCATCATCTGCGATTGCGCATATTCACCAACGGCAGTCGTGCTGTCAGTATGGACCGGTCATCATCACCTGCAGAGTCGTCGAAACCGACTCACGTTGACGAATTCATTGTAATTGATCTGACCATCTCCGTCAACATCAGCCTCTCTGATCATCTCCTCGACTTCATTGTCTGACAGCTTCTCGCCTGTGCAATTGTGGTAGGCAATGGAGGCAGGCGTCAGCAAGCCTCTCTAGAAATGCACACTCTGAGCACCGTCACAATGCTCGAGCGCGAGTGCTAGCTTGCCTGTCGGGGTCATC